CTGAAAGTTCATACACAGGTGCACCAATCTCCAGTATATTATGCTGGACCGGTCAGTGTTACAGCAAAATAGTGGTTATTTTTCAATAATTTTGCAAACGGTAACTATTTTTAAATTACCAGTGCGAAAACTGGCTAGCCCGTACTATTTTTACCAAAATTACGGGTTATGGCCCATTATATAATTGAAATCATTATCCTTGCAATTTTCACCCCAGAAAGAAATTTCATGCGTAATTATTATGGAAAGTATAAAGGCACTTTGCAATTTAAGAAAATTCATACTACACAAAATCCCATTTATCAAACTTTCAGGAGTCTCACACAATTTCTGTCAGTTCTGTGAGGCACAATATAAAGTTTCTCCACAAGTATGTTGATTTTTTCTCAAATTGATAATGAGCTTCAAATAAGTCTTGGTTAGGTTTCATTAAAATTAATTATATGTGTAGACCATAGTCTCCTCTCCTAATTATCAAATGCCTCAAATATTAGTCCGTCACACCTTATGACTTTAGATATCAACTTACGTGGCATCTACATCACTGAGTGAGATGGGGCATGTGTCGTAAGGTGCCTAACAACTTCAGTAGTATTTAGCTTCAAGGACTGAAAATAGAAAATGAATTATTTGTCTGACGTCAATAAAAATATCATGAGTTTCGTTGACTTGACTGCAGGCTACTTGAAAATTTACCTTGCACTTGGGGGTGCGTAATATAGCATTTCCAAGAACTTAAAACACCAACGTATTATTTGGGTAGGGTTATTCTGGTTTAAAAATTCATTCTGGAACTTCTTTGGTCCATTTAATGTGTGCTTGGAAGGAACATACGCCTACTTATAAAGTAAAATATATAAGCGTTTACCCATAAAACGGTACAGTTAAATTTATACGTGATTTCTAAACAAATGAATTAATTTGATCTTGAATTAATAAAATAATCGAAAAATTATGCAATACTTAGCTTTAGGATATAGACGAAACAGCAAAAGCAACAGTTCCGGCAACATGATTTTCGGGCATAACAATAGCGAAATCAAAAAGTAAGAAGATAAGATTGTATTGAGATTTGTATAGAATGTAGTGTAACTTTGCTAAAAAATTCGTGTCCTTTACAATGATAACTGAGTTCACTATTTATAGCTATGAAGGATGTCCTAGGATCGTGCCCTTCTTTAATGTCAGTTATGAGGGGTATTGATGAAGATGTAACGCTGAACATAAATGCCAAATTCCCTGAAACGCTCTTTACCAGAAATTATTCATCCCTTTATGCCACACAGTGCATACAACTCATGAACAATATTTTAAAAGGAGTGGGCGTAAGGCGAGACGTTTTACATATGCCTCAGCGAGGCGTAAGCCCAATAGGTATTTAATTTTTAATATTTTATAAATAATATAATTACAGTAAATATTTTTAAGTAGGTAAAAATTCATAAAAATTGAAGAAAATTATAAATAAGCAAAATATATATGCAGATGTGCGTCATCGTCACAAAAAACTAGTCAAAAGAATTCATTATATGCTACGTACGAGCACAAAAAACTTGAATTGCAAAGAATAAATTTTTCTACACAGAGGAACAAAAAGGATGACTAACCTGCAATCTGAATTTTGAATTTGCTGCTATGGAGGAGAATGAAGTTTTCTTTGTATTTGCATAAAAAAATTGCTTGTTCGTTGCTTTTGGGAGATAATAGCATACTAGCGGACAAGATAAGAAAGTGAGAAAGACCATAAAGTAGAGCTTCTAGCAATAAAAAAAGGTCTTGACTTTAAATTTAATGTTCCAATTCCTTTTTAAAATGTTTGAGTAATTACAAACCGACTTTTGAGAATTTTGGTATTATATTAAAGACTTATTCAACAAATTTTATTTTAATTTGAAAAAGTTTCTTGGGCTTACGCTTCACTGCAAAAACTTGGGCGTACGCTCCAAACTGCTGGGCGTACGCCTCTTGAGTCTTTCGCCTCTCACCATCACCTCGAGACATTTTTGGTACTCCTCGCCCTAGGGCTCGCCCCGAAAATGTCTTTTAAAACACTGCTCATGACCATGAGCGTGGTTATGTGTGGCCAAGGATGGTCAACTGAACACCATTCGCCGAAAAAATATACGGTATATAGGATAAAATATTACATGTTATCGAAAAAAAATGGACTTTGAATACCTTTTGGTTAATGTTAGGATTGAAGACCAAATCTGTCACTTTTTTACATACATCAAGGTCTAATTCCTATCACCGGGGAGATATCAAGGACCAATATAAAGCAACCCCAATACATTAAGATCATTTCCTCTTTTCTTTTCTCAGTTGAGCAAATTAACGTGGTATAGTTATTTTTTTTTCTAAACCCTTCCCAAATTAAACCCTTCCCAAACTAGGAGGATTTATAGTGTTTACACACCTCCCTTTCAGCGTGACTCGAATCCAGGATCTAACGGTCGTAGGTGAAGGTATTTTTACCAACTGAGCAAGCCTCACTTGTCGTGGTATAGTTATTTTATTCTTCACAAAAATGAAGAAACATGCGTGTGTATGCCGGTATATATGTAATATGTGGCTACTGGGCAGCGCGTTCACGCTTTGCACGAGATATCATAGTTTTGCTTCCTTTAATTTTCTGCGAAACTCATTCAAAGTTTTTGCAAATTTTTAATGCATTTTTAGTTTAAAATTAGATTCTTAAGGATTGAACTCTATCCTCTAAGATAAAAACATTAACTAAAGTGATAAATAAATAAACAAATATAACATGCAATTAGTTTAGTATAACTTAAAAGGATTTATTACTATAATTTTGATAATAAATTACTCTAATTTTTTTTTACAATTTACAACTTCTGAGTGACTGGATTTGCTAGTGTTACTTTTCTCAACTTTTTATTTTTGTACGTCGTTTTAGTGATTTGTTTGTTAAGTAATGTCTCTGCTAGCAAAAAATCTTGCGTACGTTTTGCCAGCTGATTTGACCCTTATTCATTAAGTATTGATATCATTATTTTAAGTCAAGGATAGTTATTAGCTCACTCTCATATTTTCTGGACCCATAAGTAATATATGTGACGTTATTTTCTGAAAGAAAAAAGTACTAAGTATTACTAACTTTACATAGAAATGATATCCATAATGTATATAATTCAATTTTGTTGACCATTTCTACAACTTTAGATGTGTAAACGCACTTTTTAATTCCTTAGAGCATGTTTGGAAAGCCACGTAGGAATTGGATTTGGGTGTAAGTAATTACACAGTTTCACATGTTTGTCTGTCCAAGTAATTACTTGGTCAATATGAAATTGAGTGTAATTGGAGAGGTATAATTACACTCTCCAATTCTCAAGGGGGAGGTGAGAATTGATGGTAATTACACTGTGTAATTATAAGGTTACTTTTTAATTTTTTCCCTTTTGTTTTTATTTTAATTTATTTTCTTTTATTTCCATTATTTTAATTTTTTTTATTTTGTATTTTTTATTTTACATTTACTTTTTAATTTCTTTTTATATTTTTAAAAAATATTTTTTATGTACATTATTTATCTTTTATTTATCTACTTTTACTTCTTGTGATTCCATGTAATTGCTCGTATATTTTATTTTTTTCATTTCGCGTAATTGCGTTATTATTTTAGTTTTTGAAACTACACCTCCTAATATTAGAAATAATAAGTCATTAACAAACTTGGCATATAATGAGTGACGCCATTAAAATAGAATTTCGTTGTTGAATGAGGTTATAAACTTATCATGTTTCGTATCTTAAGTTGTATTGGAACTTATTTTTATTATGTCGTTAAAGTTTTTTTTGTTTGGAATATTAAAATTGTGTTATATTTATGGTTCCAATTTACTTGTTTTAGTAGTATTGACTTGTTATTTCACATTGCATGTTGTTTATTTTTTAGTTAGTATTGATAGATTAGTTTTGTCAAATTTACATAATGTTATGATATTATATTTAATATTAATTTATTTTATCAAATATGCATTCCATGATATTCTTACAAAATGTATGTTTTTAGTTTTTATAATTAATTAAACTTAATATTAATAATTTAGAAAATATATCAATTATTTTTATAATATTATTTATAATATAATGACCCAACCGATCATTTTGACTTTTAGAACCCCGTTCTCCTAATAAAAATTTTTCGTATGTGCTTTTATAAATTTATGACTTGCGGGTATGGTTGGTTCGGGATTTGAAAGTGTTTGGGTTGAAATCGGAACACTTGGTTCCTTAAGTTGGCCTTAAAATGCTAAGTTTGACTTCGGTCAATATTTTTGAGAAAGTGATCCCAGAATAGAATTTTGATGATTCCAACATCTCCGTATTATGATTTTGGACTTAGTAGTGTGTTCGAAATTTTATTTGGAAGTCCGTAGTTAAATTAGGCTTGAAATGACAAAAATAAGAATTTAAGTTTGAAAGTTTGACCGGGGAGTTGACTTTTTGAAATCGGGGTCAGAATCCAATTCTGAAAATTTTCATAGCTTCGTTATGTCATTTATGACTTGTGTGCAAAATTTGAGGTCAATCAGATTTGATTTGATAGGTTCCGGCGTCGTTTGTAGAAATTGAAAGTTTCAAAGTTCATTAGGCTTGAATCTATGTGTGATTCTTGTTTTTAGTGTTGTTGGATGTGATTTGAAGACTCGACTAAGTCCGTATGATATTTCAGGATTTGTTGGTATATTTGATTGAGATCCCGAGGGCCTCGGGTGAGTTTCGGATGGTTAACGGATCAAAAACTGGACTTAAAAAGCTACTGCAATTTTTTTCTGCTGTAAATGCAGAAATCGAGCCCAGGGTCGAAGGCCAGGGTCGAAGCCAGGGACGAGGCTCAGGATCGAAGGCCCAACTCGAGGGCCATGATCGAAGGCAGGATCGAAGCGAGGATCGAAGGCAGAATCGAAGCCATGATCGAAGGTCCAGCTCGAGGGCCATGATCGAAGGCAAGGCTCGAGGGCTAGGGATCGAGGGCTATGACCGAGGCCAGGATCAAGGGCCATAAAGATCGAAGCCATGATCGATTCCCAGGATCGATGGCTGTCTCGGCAGTTTATAAAACTGGGAATTTTGTCCCATTTGTCGTTTTTGACGAACTTGAGGTTGAGCAGAAGCGAATTTTGGCAGAATTTCAAGGAAAAATATTTAGGTAAGTGATTCTAACTTGAATTTGGTCAATATACACGAATATATCATTATTTTCACTATTTAATTAGTGTATTGAGATGGAAATTTGGGAGAATTTTAGAAATCTCATAAAAATGAATTTTTGAGATTTCAGTGTCGATTCAGAATCGGATTTGAGTGAACTGGTATGGTTGGACTCATAATTGAATGGGTTATCGGATTTTGTAAGTTTCGCCGGATTCCGAGATGTGGCCCCCCCGGGCGAATTGTTTTAGCTAATTTCAGATTTTATTGAAAAATATAGTATTTTCTTATGAAATTGATTCCTATAATTTTTGTTGACTGTATCGAATTAACTATGACTAGATACGAGTCGATCGGAGTCGGAAAATCGAGGAAAATGCATACTACTTAGTTAAATTGGACCAAGTCGAGGTAAGTGACTTGTCTAACCTTGTGTGGGGGAAATTTCCTATAGGATTGGTATTAATGTGAAAATTAAAATATGTTGAAAGTCGTGTACACGAGGTGACAAGTGTGTACACAGGCTAAATGTGAAAGATTATATCTTTAAATTGTGTAGATTGCTGTTGCATATTAATTAAATAATTTTACCTTGTTATATTCTTCATCATTGATTTAAATGTTTATATTTTAAATTTGCTTGACCTTTTCCTGCTAATTGTTTTACCTGTTTAGTTGAAATTTAGTTTCTTTTATTCTGTGCATTATTGGAAGGTTGATTTTCTTTAAATTAAATATTATTAATATGAATTATTTGACATTTTAAATTTGGTATTGAAGCAACGTATTAAAATTTTGAAATATTATTTTGTTGAGTTATTTATTCCCGAATATTTTTGTGAGATTTTCGTACTCATTGTGATGGAGCCGTGGGCTCTTATTTATGAAAAAATATTGTTGTTGATTAATTTTGGAAAATTAAAATATTTGGGAACTTGAGGTGCAAATTGTGATATTGATACGCATGCGGTTGTATAAGGTTTGGGTGTTGAAACGCATGCGGTGAGATAAGGATGACGTGATACGCGTGGCTAGTAGGGGAATCTACTAGAAGTCATGCGATGTGATAAGGATGGCTAAAATGTGGGATGCTATTTCGGAAAAAAATATTTTCTATAAAATAAATGGTGAAGGCTCCCGCGGTGATATAAGAAAATAAGATATTGTGAATTTATTTATGATTTGGGACTACGAGGCGGTACCTCGGGAGTGCCCTTGTTGATATTTATTTATAGCCGTAGTTGCCTTTGATTATTGTTGTGATTTTTTAAAAGTTGAAAAGAATGCTGTTTTGTTTCCACGAGGTATTAATTGCCATTATTTGGTGTAATTAAATGGTGACATATTACTTGATTCATTTCCATTGTCATTTTATCTTATTATATTGTTAAACATTTTACCATGCCATTACTTATTTTTCAGTAGGGCCTGACCTGACCTCGTCACTACTCTACCGAGGTTAGGCTTGGCACTTACTGGGTACCGCTGTGGTGTACTCATACTACGCTTCTGCACATCTTTTTGTGCAGATCCAGGTACATCTTATCAGACTAGGAATCAGTAAACTAGCTGTACGAGGAGACTTCGAGATATATCTGCCAGCGTCCGCAGACTCCGGAGTCCCCTTCTATCTTACTATGTTGTCTTCCTTATTTGCTTTAGACTTTGATATATAGAGACATAGAGAATAAATTCTTAGAAACTTGTGACTTATTTCTACCGGGTTTTGGGAGTTGTAATTATTTGAATTGTAGTTTATTTATTTCAGATATCTATTATTATTCCACATTGATAGGCTTACCTAGTCTTAGAGACTAAGTGCCATCACGACCTCCTACGGAGGAAATTTGGGGTCGTGACATAAATATATGATTACTAATTAGTATATATTCAAGAAAAAATATGCATCTTAAATACCAAATCTAATATCATTTATACTTATAAAATCATTTATAGGCATATATTTATTATATTAACTTTTAAGTTTGGATAATTATTTCATTAAAAATTTAATCTATATTGTGTAATTACATTTGTGCAACCAAACAGTACACTTGTAATTACACTGTAATTACATTATGACAAACAAACAGGTCATCGTAATTACTAGGTTGTATAATTACTAGGCTGTGTAATTACTACCCTAATTCCAATTACTAGCTAGCTTTACAAACAGACCCTTAAACGTGTCGAATATTGCTGCTGCAACACGCATTATTCTTGGATACTATTAATACATAAGTGAATTACCAGGAAATCACCATTGCCGACTTAGGCAAAAACTCCAATAATGCATGACCTTTTTGTTTATGTGTGGAATGGTAGGAAACTTGATTTCCTTTTCAGGATTCTTTCCTCCAAAATTTCCACAAAGACTAGACCTGTTTAAACTGTCTCTTTATATAGAGAGAGAGTTCACTTCTACAACCATCCCATTGAGTTAATATTAATTAATTCTGTTAATAGCCCCAAAGAAGAAAATTAATCCACAGAAGTTTGCAATGGAGACGATCTATTCAATCTTAGCGACAAGCCCTTCATTATTGGGCAAGAAGATAGCTGATGATCTCAATCAAATTTTTTGTATTATTTTAAGGTGTACCATTCTCAGCATCCAAAATACATTTCAAGATTTCTATTCTTGTTTTTCTTTTTTACTCCGAGGCATTCTTGCCTTCTTCGTCACTGTCCAAAAATCTTGGAATTGTAATGCTGACGCTAAAAATTCATCAAACAGCTTGAAAAATTCAAACTCCGGCCTTGAAAATCTGGATAATGAGGAGTTACGAGAGGAAGATGTTGAGGTAGTAATTATGGATAGGCTAATGAATTTTTGCAAGCAAAATGGCGATAGAATTGAGGATATTAAGCCAGAGTTGGCAGAGGTTTTGGGTTTGTTTGAGGAAGTAGAGCCTAGTTTTGAAGAAATTAAAGATGCTTTTGATATGTTTGATGAAAATAGAGATGGATATATTGATGCAAGTGAGTTGATGAAAATTATTGGGAGAATGGGTTTCTCTGAGTTTTCAATGGAGGATTGCAAAAAGATGATTATGGCTTTTGATGAAAACAGAGATGGCAGAATTGAATTTAGTGAATTTTTGAAGCTCATAGAGCAGACCTTTCAGGAACCTGATCAGAGCTAGACCGAGTTTTTTTATTTTTATTTTTAAATACCTTACTAGTTACTACTCCTACTATTAAGTATTACTAGTATATCATAAGGTATTGAGCATTCAGAGCAAAAGATGTAAATCCATTAATAATGTTATCATGTACGCAATAAATTTAAATAAAATTAACAAAACGGAGTGTTACAAATTTCCTTTTTTCCGGTCCAAATTGGTTTTGTAGTTCTCTACAAATTTATTTTAGTTTTATGTCTTTTTAATAAGAAATTTTCATTTTTACACATAAAAGATCTGAAAATAACACACAAGAGATCTGAAAATGCCATATTCTTCTGTTCAAATATAAGTGGCCACAAGAGATCATTTCCTCGATCGAATATGATTGTTATTTAGAACTGATATTAAACCTCATTGGATACAATGAAATCTTTAAATCAACAAACATCATTTTGCCCTTTTTTGAAAATATTGCACTTTGCTTACAATTATTCTTGTACAAATATTTTGATATATTCCTCATTTTAAGGCCTTTAAAACCTTTATAAGTACCAGAATGTAGAATAAAATAACTTTCTCAACCTGCATAATATGAACAAGCTATTACAACAATTAACAAATAGAAAGTCAAGGAGTTGGAGTTAAATTATCATACTATCTCTTTCAATTTTGTAGCTGTTTCTTATTTTATGAGCTAATTCAAACTAAAGATAAATTAGGTCACGGTAAAGCTTAAAAATTATAAGTTCAATGAAAAAAATTGAAAAGACACATTTGGAGTTTTCCCCAAATCAATTAGTAGAATTTTATTGGTAAAGCTAATCACTACTCCTACTACTTATTAATTCACAAGAGTAATATGATGAGACAATAAAAACCATCATATACTTTTAAAGAAGCTTTTGATAATTGATATGTGCGTTTGATTATAATTTGGACGTTTTTAGTGGAGTTTAAAAAAAGAATGACACTTTCTGGTGGACCTATAAAAGACTTCTTCTTCTTCTTTTTTTTTTTTTTAGACAAACAGAACTTCAAAAGCTCAATATTATTTTTGCAAACTTAATTTAGATTTTTTTCTAACCAAATGCCACCTAAGTCCTTTTTAGTACTATAGCAACTTGAGATCCTCAAGTAAGATTTTTGTATGTAATGCTAATTTTTTTCTCTTATCGTATTTCAGTTAGTTTACTTGTTGTTTTGAAGACCTTAAGTTGACTCGGACTATTTCAAAGGTTGGAGGTTCCTTGTCATCCCACATAATCTTTTAAAACCACAACTTCTTGGTCCTCGCTAGAAACATGTCACTTGAATAATTAAGTAGTTAACAAGAACTTACTAAAGTTCCAAGATATCTTCTAATTAACCAACCAGTGGTCAATTACAATTTACATGGCAGATATAATTTCAAAAGTGTTTGATGAAAATGAAGATTTTCGCGCTCTCATAATATCAGATAACGAGAGTGCAGAGGAATTGCAGCTCCAAGAGGTTATTGCAGCCTCTTTTTTCCATCTTCACATGTCATCATCAACACTAAACAATGAATCCCCTGAATCATCCCAAGGTTACTGTGAGATTTGCATGGAGACAAAAGGAACAGATGAAATGTTCAAACTCGACAACTGCTCTCACCATTCCTTCTGTTCCGACTGCATAGGCTCACATTCTCAGTCCAAGATTCAACAGAACATTTTTCCTGTAACTTGCCCAGGTTTGAGATGTCGCGCAATAATTGAACCTGAAACATGTAAGTCCATTATTCCAGAAAATGTTTTCGCGAGGTGGGAAGAGGGATTGAGCGAGTCAAGTCTTCTTGCTTGTGAGAAATTTTACTGTCCTTACAAAAATTGTTCAGAGCTGCTCATATATGATCATAATGAGGAGATAATTGAATGTATATGTCCTTCATGCCAAAGGCTGTTCTGTGCGTCGTGTTGTGTCCCTTGGCATACTGGACTTGATTGTGACAAGTTTCAAAAGGAAGAAAAAGACAAAGAAGAAGATTTAAAAGTTGAGGAACTTGCCAAGAACTCCAAATGGATGAAATGCCCTCACTGCAAACGCCTTGTGCAGAAGGCTGATGGCTGTATACACATAACCTGCTGGTTAGTTAATTTGTCATTTAATCCTATACTTTTGTGTTGGTGGGAGGATTAGTTTCCTTTTAATTTATACTGATTGTGAGTAGTTTAAATTAACTAATCAATCAATTGTTTACATGTGGCTCATTCTATATATTGTGGATTCAGGTGCAAATTTGAGTTTTGCTATGTGTGTGGAGGAACATGGAGTGAAGAGCATTGGAGTTGCCAGATTAGTTAATGATCATATCGGATTGCCTCTTCATATCAATTCCGATGATGGATGTTTGTTGTCCACTAGCCAGAAGGCTCAGAATTAAAAGAAGAACAAAATCGATTTTTGATGTTTGTTTGATTAGTATTATTATGTATAGTTAATTTTGCTGTCGGGTTCAAGTTGTGACTTTAAGTACTTCTGTGGCTTTCGAGTTGGACCTTGCATAACCTGTTTTGCTTATAAGCTGCTTGAATTGGAGAACAAAATCTAAGAGACATTTCCTACTCGATCCATCTCATTATGTGAAGTGTTTTTACACTGAATCTTAATGAAATAAAAGAAGATTTTAAACACATAGGTTAAATATATAGCATATATACTACAAAGTATCAAAATGGTCCTTATTTCCAATAATTACTGTCACGATCCAAAATTCATTATAGGTCGTGATGGCGCTTAACACCGCCGTCAGGCAAGCCAACGGTGATTGATCAACTTAATTGCTCATTCTTATTAATTTCGAAATCATAATTTCCATTAATTAAATAGTATAAAATAGAATTTACAGGGTAAAATGATAATAGCACGTGAACTACAATAATAAACAACCCGTAAGCACCCCCAAAACCCGGTGTCACAAGTGCATGAGTATCAACTAGGAAGTATAATAAAATACAACATATGTCTCGAATACAAATTAGACAGGAAAATATAAATAACCCCGATGGAGACTCTGCAGGCTGCGGATCGTAACATGGAATGCAGCTCACGGTAAAGTCCCCGCAATAACCGCGCCTTTGCGTCCAAAAGACCACCAGACATATATATACCTACACAATAAGTGCCGCAAGTGTAGCATGAGTACGTAAATCAACGCATACCCAGTAAGTATCTAGCCTAACCCTAGAGAAGTAGTGACGAGGGGTCGACATCGACGCTTACTAGTGGTCCAATAAGACAGATACAGTAGAAGTAAACAGATGTGAGTTAAACTAAATAAACAAAATAACGAGTATAAATATGTGAAAAAATTCTCCTCTCGGCAATAACTCAAGTTCTCAGCTAGTAGTTACCTCCTCAATCGGAGAGAGTGTGTGTGTGTGTGTGTGTGTGTGTGTGTNTATACTGCTTCTTGTCAATTATTACACAACGATTTTATAAGAGTATTTTATAGAAATGTTGAGGCGTACGACCCGATCCTATCATAATATGTGCACTGCCGAGGGTCGAACGACACGAACCATAGATACATTTATTTTTATTATCGAGGCAAACGACCCGCTCTCATAAGAGTGCGATACATAATCCTGTCGAGGCGAACGACCTGATCCCATCATAATGTGTGCACTGCCGACGGTCGAACGACACAAACCATATATGTATCTATTATATTGCCGAGGCGAACGACCCGATCCCATTAGAATAAGAAGTTTTAACGGGTCCTTGACCCCACTCACGAATAGATGTGTGAGTTATAAATTTTTGAGGGAAACCTTTCAATGAAAACGCATAACGCGGGAGAAATTTGTAAGAGGAGTACAATTATTCCGCGGCTAATCATGAAGCCCGTCAAATCTCTACAATAGCAAGTCTATCACTCTACGCAAGTCTAGTCTCAAGTCGTAATGTAAAATAAAAGAATTCAATAGGCAAGGGATAACTCAAATAGTATAGTTATAGCATGATGTGAACCTAAGTATACCCGGTAATAACATGAATTTTAGCTGCGTAAAGACTCCCATCACCTCGTGCGTACGTAACCCCCGCAACAAGTAACACATATCAAATACATCACTTAGGGATAGTTTCCCCCTTACAGAGTTAGACATGAGATTTACCTCGCTCCGAAGTTTCATAACAGGCTCCAAAGCCTCTCTAACACCTCAAACCGATGCCCGTCTCTCCAAAACTAGTCAAACAAATGTTCAAATCCATAAATACATACTCTATTACCCATAATTAATCAATTTATAACAATTTCCAACTCCGCTCGAAAAGTCAATAAAGCCAACCCACGGGCCCACGTACCCGGATTCTAAAATTTTTCGAAGATAAACATTACCCATAACATTACGAACTCAAATATATGATTTATTTTAAATTTGATACCCAATTTTGTGGTCAAAATATAAAAATACGATTTCTAGGTCTTCTACCAAAATTTCATAATTTTTACTAATTTCCACGTTCCAATCCATGTATAATTCATGTATTTAACTCACAATGAGAAGAAATCACTTACCTTTTGGTTGATGACGAAAATGGTGCTCCAAAATTGCTCCCAAGGTCGGCTTCCATGAAAAAATGGAGTGAAAATGAGCCAAACCCCCGCCTTTAAAATGACATTGCCCATCACTTCCTTCTTCGCGACCATGGAAACATCCTCGCGATCGCGAAGGCCAAAATCCCAACTGCCCAAAAGTTCTACTTCGCGTTCATGGTGGCCTTCCCGCGTTCGCGATGCTTCCATGTCTCACTCCTTCGCATTCGCGGTCCTTAAGTCGCGTTCGCGATGGCGTAGCGCCTTCAGGACTAGCTCCCCTTCATCCATCGCGTTCGCGATACCCAGTCGCATTCGCGTACAACACCTCTGCCTCATCTCCGCGTTCGCGACCCCATGGTCGCGTTCACAATGCACAATTTCCTCCCCAGCTCCAGCTTCTCTTCGCGATCGCCTCCCTTCAACTATGATCGTGATGCTTACCAGGAACACCAAA